GAGAGGGGAGGAGGAGGAGGAGGAGGAGGAGGTGGAAAAAGGAAGCACAAAGCTTTCAATAACTGAAGACACGCGACACAAATTAAAAGGCGACCGTTTCAAAGCGGTCACAAATATCGTAATTGCTTCTCTTGCGCCAATTTACCACCGCTTTCAATAATCTTAATAAACCCTTCCGCCTCCAAAGGAAACGTTATTATCGCGCGCGTGTATTGCAGGCGAGAAAAGCTGACTGAAGAAGAGAGGAATAGCCCGGTTAAGGGTGGGATGAAGAGGGAAAACGTGGAATCAAACCCGACGTCGAGGGTTAACTCGAACACGTATTCCCCGCATACATATAGGTGAGAGAAGCCGAACGAAGGGAGAAAGAGGGTGGAACAAGGTGTACGACTGTGAACAAGGACAAGATTATTAACTTGATGCGCATGAAATTTCGTTTCTACGGAGTTTGAATATTATTAAGTATATTAAAAAAAAAAAAAAAAAAAACAAAAGAAAAGAAATAGATCACGCCTAAAATCAAAGGATTTAAAGAGAGAGAAAAAAGATGTTTCGAAAGTTTAAAGTTTAATTGTTTCTAGATGCAAACTTTACAAAAAAAGATATCAAATATTGCGGATATTTTTTAAAAAAGTAGATTATTTCTCTCGATAATGAATGATTACAAAATAACTAAAAAAAACTAGTTATCTAGAAGAATTTTATTCAACAATTCGAGCAAAAATGAACGAGAGGAAACAAGAATCGATCATGATTCTCGGGAAGAATAGGTGAAGAAATAAAAGAGGCTCGACGGGTCGTGCCGTTGCGCGATCCTTTCCCCATTCTCTCTTTCTTTTCTCCAAATATGAATCAGACACTCTGTGAGCGTGCTTAGTCACCCTCCTTTGGATCTCTCTCTCTCTCTCTCTCTCTTCCTCTCTCGAATCCGTCGTCTCGAATCGATCGGAATAAATCAGCGAATCGAATATTTATTAGAAACTCCTTACCGGCTCGCATTAAACGAGCCCATCTAAATCTCGAGGCCGTGCAGGCACACATATTTACCCGGGTGAATACGAACTCACGAGGGGAGGGGGATCAACCGCTCCTCGAAACGAAGAGGAACAGAGGGCGCGAACTTGGAAACGCGTGGAAACGCGGGGCAGCAGCTGGGTCCATTGGAAAAGTGAGTGGTGGAGGGGAAGACGGGGATCGAAGGAGGAAATAAACAGCGGGGGTGGAGGATTCGTGCGCGGGTGTGTGCACAGCATCGGGTTCGAGAGAGTTGGTCGGCGTTTTACACGATCGTGTAGAAACGTTAAGAAGGGAGGAGGGGAGAGAAGGGGAATAAGAGAGGAGGAGAAGGAGGGGGAGGAGAAGAAAGGACAGGAATCGTGGGGGGAGAAGCGAGGAGGGGAAGGGTACATCAGAAACCTGATTTTAATTAGTCCACAGTTTAATTACTCGGCAGATAAATCGTGCACGTGCATCGCATAAACTAGCCGCTTTCATTTTTCCTGGACGCGGCAGGCGCACGGTCGCGCGCGCTTACTTCTATGCCGCGAGAATGCGGGATGGGTCATTGTTGGAGGAGGGAGAGAGAGAGAGAGAGAGAGGAAGGGAGTGGAGGAGGGGAAGAGGAATGACTGCGTTTCAAACCGTCATCGAAACGGATGGATAATTGTCGAGAGGGTTAACCGGTTGATGGATCAGCGGACAGCGTGATCCGCGTCCTGTATTTTCTGTCGCGATTTTGTTGAAATTACATTTTAAGGACGAGAGGTAGAAGTAGAAGCGACGAAATTTTATAATTTTTCGATTACCAGTTTTCGAATTTATAATTTCGATAATTTCCCGATAACGAAATTCTAAAATTGAACTTATAAATATAAGTGGCGACGAATTACAAAAAATTATAAATATTCATTTTACATCATTACAGTGCTTATTATTTCTCCCGTTATAATCATTTATACTTTCATCACTTGCACAAAAGAATCTTATGAAAAAGCAGCAACAAAACACGAGAGAATAACATTTTCCTCGAAAGGTATACAACGGGTTTCGTATTATCGCGTAAATCATCATCGCATGAAACCGAAAAAAAAAGAAAAAAAGAAAGAAAGAAAGAAAGAAAAAAGAGAAAAAGAAAAAAAAGAAAGATAAAAAAGAAAAAAACAAAAGGATCAACAAGAGAAAATGTTGACAACTTTCGCTTTTCGTTTCGAAGCGAACGAGTAATCAAGGAACGAATCATTAAATGGGGAAAAACGGTTCCGGGCCAATAACGGGCGGGATGATTCGCTGTTTCGCCGGCGCGAAGGTGTTAATGCACAGTCAACAAATCATTTTGTTCGTTTTGGGAAAATCTGTTGATGCTACGCCGCGGGAATGCGGAATGGGTCATTGTTGCCGGCTCGGTCGCGGAAAGAGAAATGACCGCGTGCTCCTGTCATCGAATCATCCGGTTCACGGTCGAGATACATGCCGCGCACCTCGATACGCTACCCTGTATATGTATACACACGTATACACGTGCGTACCTTTTATAACACGTATCCGTCTCTCTACGTATTTATATGTATATATATTTTTTACATATACACACGCATATGTGTATATATATATATATATGTATTTTTCACACTTTTGTCGGCAATAATGAAACGGTATCACCGGTGAAATTGAAATCATAAACCGTGTTAGGTGTCATCGACTCGCAAAATTCGACCGATCGATGCTCTTAGATTCCGGTATCGATTAAATGACGATTCTTTATCGAGTTAACATGGATTAACAGCGATCCGTGGATCGTGTAAGACATAGTGATGGAAATAGATGGATTTATGATGTGTAATAATCACGTGGATTTTTTTGTTTAGTTTATGGATATATTTAAACGATGGTGGAATCGATGGTTTTGATTGGAAATCAATCGAGGATATAATTGTATATATTTTTAAAATAAATTTCGTGTGACTTAAATTTTTTTTCAGAATTTTCGAAAAGTTAGAATATTACGATTGCTTTTAATCCAAATATTTTCACCCTTTGCGAAATTCGAAAATTTTTCCAATTTTTTTCAAGAAACGCTCGCTAATAGGGTTTGAAGCTTTCCATTTAAACATTAAAAATAGAAAATATATGCCGCGTATATAGCAAAATAAAATTCTTTTCCACGATAAAACACAAAAATTCCATTTACCATTTGTAGAAACTTATCCAATCTTTTGTAAACTTCGATACAAAACTCGTACGTAGCGTTCCAAATTCCACTAACTTTCGATTCGACGAAACAACAAGGCCAAACTTTTTCCACGCTCGAGAAAATTAAAATCCACACAACAAGGAGGCGAACTGGTGATGATGAAACACGTTACACCGAAAACTTCGCAAGAATTCCCAATTGCAGGGATATAAATCGAGACGTGGCGTGGTTGTGTATGCGTTATGAGGCCGGTCGTTGTGTATCGACAATCGAACGATTCGAGCGATGAATTAAACTTTGAATTTCGCTAATTACGAATCCTGATACACCGTTCGCAGAAAAATGGTTGGGCGGTGTGTGTAGGTGTGGCGGTGTGTGTCGGTGCGCGGCGGCAAAACCGATACCTCGAAGGAGAGAGGCCGATAGGCGACTTCTTTCGCGACACGAATAAAACCGGCGGTACCTGTAACCGTGTGGAGAGGCACACGGTAACGGTTTCCCCCATTCTAATTAACATTCCGCGTATTTATTAGACGCGGATCCGCAATTAATCAGGCAGATTCAATTAGCGAATTACCAATTAGCACGCACGCGTTCACACGGTCTCGGACACCGCTTGAGATCCTGGATGTTGGACAACGTTGGATAATCGTAAAATTTGCCTTGTCGAAAATTTTAAGTTCGATGAAATATAAACTTTGAACAAAAACGTTCGTTCCGAGTTTCTGTTTTTGGAGAGGAAAAAGGTTTGACTTTTTTTGATAAAATCGACCGGTTTGAACACAGTTTAAGATTTGCTTCGAATGGAATGATTTTATTTTCGAATGATGAAATGATCCTCGAACGAGTTCATTCTGAATTTCTTTTTGTTTTCGAAGAAAGGAATGTTTGACGTTTTTTCGTAGAGAAGTTTGGAATAGTTTGTATTTTAAATATCTTAAATACGAATAATTTTGTTTCTCTTTTTAGAATATTTTTAAAGAGAATATTCCATTTGATCAAATGGAAAACTTGTAATTTGAATAGATAGGCAATTTAGATATCAGGAACATGTGATGGATAGTTAGAAACTTCAAAGAAAATTGTTACGTGCAACGTGTTTTACAATCGTGCCCGTGATATTTATGATTTTAAATTATTCGTATCTAATAACGTTCTCTTTGAGCATACGATATCTTCTACGTTAATATCAACGATCATTACATATAATGGAATGGATTGAAATTGAAATTTGATATTCTGAAAAATAACAACTCACCTTTCTTCAGCCTCTTTCATCCACCTTTCGAGGACCGGTTTAATCTTTTGTGCACTTTTTGGCGTGATGTCCAATTTTTCGAATCTAGAGCCAACAACAAGTTATGATTCACGTTTCTCTGATTCCATATCGCATATAGAAATATTATTACTCGTGAAGAAAGAAATCGAAATTTCAATCGTCAAAGACGTAAAGATCCTTTCTCCCAAATCTCCCGATATTTTCTGAATTTTTAATCTCAACATACTTTTCAAAGCGTTCGTCTTCGAACGGAAGAAGATAGAATTATCAAAAAATTCTTTGCGTCTTTGTTCGACTAAAGGAGCACTAAAAAAAGCATGCATTGACTCAAAAACAGGACATTGACAATGCGTGCATGCTTAAAGGTTTTGGTGATGCCGTGTATGATGTTGCCAACGCGCTTCGAGAGCTAGTGTTCTTCTGCGTATAAACGACGAGCGTATACCAAAGTAATTGTATACAAAGATCAATTTAGATTAAAAAAAAAAAAAAAAAAAAAAGCACGAAGATCGTACAAAAAAAAAAAAAGGAACACACTCTCATCGACGGACGTCGATCTTCGCGATTTTTTCTTTTTCTTTTTTTTTTTTTTTCTTTTAACGTGTACTCACGCGTTGGCGACATCATGCCCAAGTTTGCCAATGCCCTGGCTCGAAGAAATCGTTAACAAGTTTCACAAGTGCTCCTTTCGCATCTCATTTTAATCTTTTTCATTCTCTTTTTCTTTTCTCTTTCTCTTTTTTTTTTTTTTGCCAGAAACGGAGTTAGAAATTAGTGATAGCGATATTGCAGCTATACCCAAATATGCCCCAAATTGATACTTGATAAAGAGATGTTCGAAGCGATATACAATCGTTTCGTCTAACGAAACACCGAGGAATGAAACCGAGGAGAAAGTCGACATACATTGGAGAAAAATAGAAGAAAGATCAAGGGTGATAGAGAGAAAGAGATAATGTAAATTCATATTATCGTTATGCACGTGTACACTCGTGTCTCGCTTGTCGTTCGATATTATTATAAGGAAGATGTATATATATATATATATATATGTATTAAATTTCAACAAGCCTTGAAGAATCGATGATTTTTGAGAACACTGATACTCTGAGCTACTCTCGCACACGACGATAACCAAATATGTACGGATTCACATGCTTGGGTATAACTGCTATGCTTCCAGAAGGATTTGAAAAAGTTTTAGATTTTTAGGTAAATTAAGTAGCATGAGGGGTGAACGTACGTAGCTTGCTGCTGAGAGGCAATCTGCGAGGCAGCGTACATCTGGGTAGCCAGGGCACTGGGGAACAATCACCAATGCTTAAATTAGTCGTTACGATAACAATACTAGGGTGTAGAAACATCGTTTCTACTTGCCACCAGCACTACTACCACCGTGGTTCCTTCCTTTCCGGATTTTCCGTATCTTGAACGGATCTTATCTTTTAGTCAGCTAAGTGAGAGAACAGGGGCGCATGATCTCGTATAAAATCACGTGTACAACTTCGAACGAAACACATTTCAGGAACCACCGTGGCAGATTATACACATTATACATGAAAATTCAACGACGTTCTCTCTCTCGGAATTTGTACTCGAAGAAATCGCGGATCAAGATACACAACATGGCTAACTCTGTCGCGACAGCGCTATGTCCAAAATTAATTGGTTACTTTGGGACCAAAATCGAATGCTAATTTCAACGACGACAATCCTTCTTTTCCCTCTTCTCGGAATGATCCATAAAATTGGAAAACACGAGGATAGATTACAAGCAAGGCAAAGATACAGATTGGCAGAGAGGCTTAAAGAATTAATGCAGTAAATCGAATGACCAATTTAATTTGGACATAGGGCGGAATAGTAAAAAGGGTTGGTCCTTGGAGGAACTTTGAACGAGTGTCCCTTAGCCCCGACTTCTTTAAATGGAAGAAGACATCATCGAGATTCAGCGTGGTCTAGAAATGTACATACACAGATTGTTAGCAGCCAAAACAGGGAACCATCCCTCTTTCTTTTCTTTTTTTCTTTTTTTTTTTTTGGTCCATTTCCAGTGACCTGGCACATTGTCGTATATCAACCTAATTTCATCGTCCTTTCTTTTCTTTTTTCTTTTTTTTTTTTCCATTTCTCATCAGCGACGTCCGTATGAAATTCGTGACAAGATGAAGATAAAAAACTAAAATGACGAAGAAAAGACGACGAGGTGTCGCACACTCACCTGCATATGGCACTTTGGCTGTAAGCTGGCCCCTCTGTCACGCTCAGGGCCTGTCCCACTTGGGTCTGCGTCAGACCCAGCGACAATCTGCGAAACTTGAACACCTTAGCGAACTCTTTGATCTCGTCCAGATTTATCCCGTCGACTACATTGTTCGTGGCCTCGTTGATCGTCGGTTGATCTGTAATTAGTAGAATCTTTCCTTTGGTGGGATTTAAAATTGAGGAGATCGATAATTATTACAATCATGAGATGGTTTCGTTCGATATTGATATTTATTTGTATTTTATCTATCTTCAGATTGTTTTTTGATTCTTTAATTGTTCTTTCAAAAAAATATATTTCAAAAAGAAAAATATATATATATTCGAAATATTAAAATTTTTCGAGAATCCATCGAAAATATGATTTAACGAAAATGTTCGAGTTAATTAATTTCCTAGAACAAGCAAATCTCGATCCAAAAAAATACACTCCAGAATAAAGATCGTCAATTATTTTTAATTATGTTTGGTTAAAAACTAGAACGATTTTCTGATTTAGAGATTATCTAATAAAATATTCCATTGAATTCATTTCTCAGGAATATCTTATTCAAAGAATTACTTTTACTCTAAAACTCATCCATTATCTTACCTTAAGAATTAAGATTCTCTTAAGAAGATCTACGATTCTTGGAAGAAAGTGTTTTGACAAAGAGCAATTGTCCAACGAATTCCGGATCGATCGAGCCGGAATGCCTCAAAGTTCTCGACCAAGAGGCCGTCTAATGATACCGGCTTCGTTAAAGCTGTTTCAAACGCACCGATTTCTCTCGTAAATCTGTCACCCCGAACGTATGTACATACGCACGCAATAGAGGTGGCCAACAATCTCGACCAGTTTGAACTCGGCTTTCTTCGCCGAGCAATAAACCGCAAATCTTTCTTCCGTCGCTGCGCCGTCTCTGCGATCATTAATTTCCAATCGAACGCGAGATCCTCGTCCCGTGGAACGAGACAAAAACACGACGACGATGCTCCACGACTTTCTCGTGCCACGAGGAAATGGCTTCGGTTTCGAGGAATGCCCGAGTATTTTCGCGAATCGGTACCGTTCCTGCAGAGAATCCGTTATTTTCGCATCAAGATGGTGAGCAACGTTTACACGAAATGTGTTTTTAACACGAAAAAAACGTGTCTAGTCTCTCTCTCGAAGGATTTAATAAAATAATAGATAGAAGTTATATTTAATTGTGATACTTTTTTTTAGTAATATTCTTAGTAATATTCGCAATCTTCTCCATTCAAATTGTTCTTTGATATATTTTCTTTGATATTTTGTATTATATGGGTCTATTGTGTAGGATGGAAATGGCCGAATTCTTAATGAAACTTTCAAATTTCGTCGAAAATAATTAATTAAAGTATAACACATCACTGTACATACTGAAATCGAGCAGTTCATGTGCAATGTTATAACTTAATTTCTCTTCAATTCCATTTGCATTCGTTAAAGTTTCGTGACAGAGATGCAATTTTGTTGAAAAACTTTCACGGTGGTTATACATAATGATTTATAAAAAATGTATGAAAAACATTCGACAATGTTACTTCAGAGAGGACCGAGTGCCCGTAAAGTGATTATTAACTCTTTTAGGGGCGCCATTTTTTTTTCAGAGAGGGCGCCACGTGCCCGGCCAGCAGATAAAAAGTAACGTAAACGTACTTATAATCTCGTATTCTCTTCTTTCTTTCTTATTATAATACGACAAATTTTCATTGCTCGTTTTCATTCCTTTTAATTACTTGGAATTCGATCTTTTCAAAAAAAAAAAAAGAAAGAAAAGTCACTTTAATCCTCATTATTTTAACCAAATCGACACGTTCAATATTTCTCATCGCCCGCAATCAATCCTAATTCGAAGCCTCATTGTTCTCAACGAGCGATTCGCGACATTTTTCCCAGCAAACGAGAAAGACACTCGATAATAAGGGCGTGAACGAGCAACGTGAATGCTCGTCGATCGTGATCTCTTCCCTCCAAATTTACTCCCCATTGTCCTCTCTATCCATCCATACGAATCATAAACGACCGACCGACTATCCTCCTCCTTCTCCTCCTCATCCTACGCCTCTCTAAATTTACGAATCGACTCTCAAGGATCAGCGCGAGATTGGTTAACAAAAGCTTAGATTTATCAAGTAACGTTGGCATCAGCAATTGAGAATCGTTAGGCTCGATACGTCGAACGATTATTATTATCATCGTTGTCCCGCGGAATGACGAAGTGCCACAGCCTGAGCAATGATTGTGAATTATTAAAATTATTGTCTGGCCGACTTGTCGAGGGGTTACGTGCACCGTACACGGAATCTTTATGGCTTCCCAGAAGGCAGCGAGAGAGAGCATACGATCTAATACACCGTAATGAGCCGTGCATTGTACGATATCCTATTAGGATTATTAAGAGCTTCGAGGCGCGGACGGACGCCGCCAACATTATTATTTATCGGCTTTGACCGTGCGTTAAATGTTGAACCCGAGTAGAAGGGAAGGAAACGTGATTCGAAGCGACGAGGCACGAGAAAGAATCGGAAAGATTGGATTGAATTTTTATGCAGTGTCGTGTGAGGAGGAAATTTTCCTTTCTAAAATACGATTCTTATCTACGTAATTATCTGGATCTGGATAATATATATCGTAATAGTAAGAATATAAGAGACGTTTTGTCGCTCGATTCATACTTCTTGAAATGTATTCTTGATTTGGATTGGAGATATTAAAAATCGTCATTATCTCGAAATTGAATGGAATCGATAAATAATGTCTGAATGGTTAAATATTATAAATATTTTAACAATTTTGCTAATTCCGGAACATGGACTAAAATAAGATAAAGCGATGAAATCGATAAAATGTTAAATATACCTATATGAATTCTAAATATATTCGTGTAAATATATAAAGAGTTGATGGCGCCACTATCGCCCGATTACGATCAACAAGACAATCAAAAAGATTAAAAGATTCTTTTTGCAAATATTCTGAATTCATATAAACTATTCATATCAAATATCACATCATTCCAGATCCAAGAATAATTTTTTCCAAATTCTATCTAACCCCTCTCTACTACTATACAAAATCTATCTTTCCATCCAAAATTTAAATAAAAAACCTTCCTAACCTGTCTAAACTTTATTCCATTATAATCATACATCAATCTATTTCAAATTTAAGAATGATCTTTCCAACTTTCAAACTACCAAATCTGTTTTCTCTATTATCTATTAAAATCTATCAAAAAAAAAAAAAAAAAAGGAAAAAAAAAGAAAAGAATCAAACGAAAATAAATAAATAAAAATGATCTTACTAGGTGAATCATTGAGATCCTCCTCCTCCTTCTTAGGATTGTGCATGCTGCTCGGCGTGACACTCGCCTTCACCCCGGCTCCACTGGGTCCATGCGTGGTCGTGATCGTTATTTCCCCGTTGCTGGCCGCCAGTCTGTTCAGGGCCGAGGCTGCGGATACCACGGACTCGTTCAAAGGCGACGATTGCTCGGGCCTCTCTCTGTGATGTTTCTCCGTCGGCTGCGAGGGACACGCAACAGTAGAAACGGATTAGTAAGCTCGATCGCAGTATCAACGACGATGCCCTGCCTCTTCTTCTCCTCTCTCTCTCTCCCCGCCCCCTCCCCTCTTCCCCGGCCAATTATGCACTTAATAATGAGACCTATCTCCTTCCTTCAACTCCCCCTCCCTTCTCCCTTCCATCCAAGATCGAAGAAACACTTTAAACTCTAATTAGTGGAAGAAAAGCGCCGCCTGGCGAATACTTTCTTAACGAGATCGCTTGCTATCGGCGAATTATTCCGCTTGTTCGGCTGATCCTGCGACGGTTAAGTCCCCTTTCCACCTTCGCGGTTTTCCTCGATACGTATCTCGATACTCGCAACAAAGATGGGGCTCTCGTTTCGCATAGCAGCACAGTTGGACATCGTCGTGATCATCGTCGTCCGGTATCGGGGTCCGGTGTTGGTTAGTTATCGAAGAAATCGAAAAAGTATCGACTTCGATTCGATGCAACCCCCTTTTCTTCCTCGGATATATAATAATTGAAGGAAACGAGGGAAATGTCGGAGGGAGGAATCGATCGACAATAACAGTTTGTCGAAGGGAATGAGAATGGGGGGACGAAGCCTACTTCTGTGGAACGTATTGTCCGGATAATTTTAAAATAATCCAGGGAAATGTGATTTAATTCGGGGGGGGGAAAAAAGAAGAAGAAGGAAATTGTTTAAATTTAACGTGACAACAGGTATCGATTATCGAGCGTAATCCCGTTCCTGTTTAAACACAGAGCGAGGATTTTTTTCTCGAGGATGGAGTAATATCTGTCGGACACGTTTCGTTGAATTCTTAACAAACGCGATCGAACACGAGGTTTCACGAGGATGGAAACGATTCGCTAAAAATATGTATAGGCGATTGATTAAATTATCGACAACGGTCTATTAATAGGATGTTCGTTGACGGTATTCGAAGCGATAATCCAATTATCGATGGAAATAATCGCATCGTTTTGCTTATTTCGTAAGATGGACGGGACGGTGAGGAGGGGGGGGGGGAGCGGGGGATGATTGTTACGCGCGTGGAGAGGTTTAAATTATTTCGCGGTCAAGGAATCTACTTACCGTGTAATGATTCATATGAGAGGTGTGTCGATGACCGTGCTGCTGGGGCGAGGTGGTCAGAAGCGGTTGTTGAGAGGCCTGTGCAGCTTGGACAGCCTGTGCCGCTTGAGCCTGAGCCGCCTGCGCGGCCTGGAGCAGTTGCTGAGGCTGCATCGCGCTCAGAAGTTGCTGGCTGGCCGAGCTGTTGCTCAGAAGGTGCGGTAAGGCGGCCGGATTTAACCCTAATCCGGACGCTAAACTCGGACTTGTTGGGACTGTCACGTGGGAAGAGAAAAGCGTGAGTTACTACTCCTCGTGTCGCGCGAGAATTTAGACTTGTGCTATTCCGGACATTCAATTTCATTTCATATATTTTTATCGAATCTTCTTTTGGGCAAAGAATCGGAAAATTTAGAAACGAGACCTGAGAAACTTTGGAGATTTAAAAAAATTAATCGAATCTTTACAAAAAAAAAGAAAAATTACTATAATTATAATTAGAATTTTTCAGGAAAAATTGCTGTACTACTGATACTACTCGTTCGGATACAACAAAATAAATTTATTATATACCTGTAAATTCACCATTGCTAGTCGGCGTGTTCAGCATGTTCTGCGGTTGAGCGATCGACTGAAGGTTCGCCAAGGTCGTAGACACCACTTGTCCGTTGCTGAGCGCCAAGTTCACCATTTGATTATTCGTGACGTGGCTGACAGGGATGGTGAGGATAGTTTGCGTGGCTATTCCTGTCCGGGCGAATAACGAGAAAAACGAAGGAACGTTAATCCCTGGATCAGCAAGCGTCACGAGACAACGACACCAAGTATAAAGGCGAAGCGGGAAACGGAGTTTGATAATTCTATCTTTAGCCTATCCCCGCGTATGAACGTGTCTCGAATCAATAGATACTTCATTTCCATTATGAACGTAGTCCACGCGTCGTTGATCCAGGAAGGGTAGTAAAGTTATCAGAGTCTCATAGAGGGATTATTAGGCAACCCATAGGGCAGGTAACCTCGCAGGCCAGCGTAGTTGGCAAACTATTATCGTCATCTTAATAGTGGGTACAGGTACTGGCACTGGACTAGGCTGCGAGAAGGACGCCTAATCATACTTAGAATAGTTTCGGGATTACCTCCAGCTCCGCTAATCTGATTACCCTGTACACGCGCTTAATATGATTACTGATCATGAGTACGTACCCGTGTTGGTACCTATAGCTAAGCTAAGCAAATCCCGTATTCCGAACAGCCATAAAAGTTTCGCGTTCTGAGGTAAGGTCAACTGACAATCCGATTAACGTTAGTTCCGTCGTGATATTCGACGATAATATTCCGTCTGGTGTACGTTCTCTTTCTTTTTTTTTCTTCCTTTCTCTCTCTCTCTCTCTCTCTCTCTCTTCTTTCTTCTTCTTCTTCCTTCCGTTC